CCATTCCTCTGATCCCATATTTTTCTAACTTGTCCATTAATAATTCATGATTGATTGTGTCATGATTTTTTTTTAGGTCATTAAATATTCCCACCGTGTATTTCTTCTCATCCATAGCACTTGTAATGTCCTTCATCAGGTCGGTAATGGCCAAAGATCTCGATCGGTTCGACATAAAACCATATGAACCTTTGCCACAGTGAAGGCGAGTTATGCTTTCATCTTAGTGTTTATTGGCAAAATAAGGACAGGCTTTCATTTTTGACTATCCAAGTTGGAAAAACAATTATTCCTGCTTAGATCAGGGTTTACTCTAAAAAAAACCCCAACTGTGATGACAAGACATGTGCTAACTCAATTAGACATTCACACTTTAATTACTGTTTCTGAGAACTTAATGGCAAAAAGCATGAAAACAGCTATTCTGTTTTGTGTTGCCTTGCATGTGTATGTGGTCTGTGATCTAATGACTCCTGTTTATTGAGCAGCAGACTACATTCTTTGTGTGAATGTATAGAGCTGTGTATTAATGCAACCATGCAGCACAACCCTAGAGACCGATCCCATCTGTTTGGGTCTGGTTGTGTAGAAACTCATCAAAATGTGGTCCCCAAGGTTTACTGCAACCCTCCCTTCCCCCCATTGTTTCTCCATTTGTTACCTCTTTGTCTTATTGCTGAGAGGGTGAGGAGCCTGGGGCAAGAGCCCAGCCCCAAGGAGGAGAGGGGGTTCACTAGGCCCAAGCATTAGTGGAGACAGTAGCCATGAAATGACCCAGAGCAAGTGACGCTTCCTAGGCATGTTTTATGCTCAAATGAGCATACGGCTGAGGCTGGCTAAGGGTGGGGAGCTCTACCAGTGAGGGAGGGCATGTGGAAAGAGACTAGCCAGGATGCTACTGTGTGTTTTGTTTAGTCCATCTATGTCCTACTGAAATAGAAAACTGAGGCATCACTTGGTGCTTTAGAGGATTGCCCAGGACCATAGCACGTAAGTCAGGCTTTCTGCTTATTTTTTTCTTGTTGAATCCTATGAAAAAGTTGTAATATCACTCTAATTCACTATGATTCTATTTTCTTGTACTTTATTTTTTGCATTTGGACACTTCAGATTACTGCACAGAGATTTTAGGGTTTTTATTTTCAGTGCAAAAATGAGTTTGCATGGCTTAGCACCAAGGTGAAGCATGACCTTGTAACGTGATGATGTAGCTCATTAATGTCTAGTAGATTTGTCCCCAAGAAAAATCCTGTTTCTTTTTTTACCCCTTAAGGTATCACTGGATTTCATGTGTTATTTTGTTCCAGCTTCTTAACTCCTCTTTCAGGAGGGCATTTTGGGCCCTTTTCAGGTTTTTTACCTAATAATACAACTTGATGTGCCAACTGCCAGCAAGAGAACTGCATCGGGCAGCAAACAGCCTTATTTAGTGAGGATGAATATTCATTTGTTTTGAATAATAATTTTGACAGCCCTGTTACTAATTGATAAGGGAATACATGCACAGTATAATGCAACATTTCTGGAAGTAATTGTACTAGGATTATACCACAAAAGGCAACATCTAGACTTCCACTAATAAACCAGAAATATAAATATTATTGTTAGCTTACAAACAGTCAGGCTGGATAAAAGTGTGGAACTGAATCTCATGATTTATGAGTATACCAAGATGCCAGACAACTGGATATGAAAATGACATCATATTAGTTTTGTTTGTTGGGAGTTCAAGTGGCTATGTACATCCATTCATCCATTTTCTAGACTAAAAGCCACAGAAACGTCAGTCAAGTATTCAGTTGTGTTTCCAGAGGATGAAGCAGGGACAGTTGCTAAAACCGCAGCCCAGACAAGTTTATTTTTTGGGATGACTAAAACAGAAACAGACATTTCTGGGGGTGTGACATTGGACTGACTCTGGATCAGTAATCCATTTCACCTTTAAAAAGCACTGGCCTCAAATGTCAGTGTGATGCCATAATCCAAGCAAATGTCACATGTTTTATGGCATATTGCACTGAAATTAATCTTAGTGTAAGGCTATGAAATGGCAAAGTCTTTATTTCACTGAGGATTTATGAATAAATAGCACTGTATGTCCTTGGGCAGTGCCACTAACACTTTCTTGTAGATTTCCTTGCTGTTGTAAATTACTGGAGATGTGACCTACATCTGGAGTGATGTGAGAATAATGCAGCGTTGTGTCTGTTTGCCGTACATGGGAACTTGATTTTTGCTGTGCTGTTTACAAATCCATTAGTGTGCTGGTAATGTGTTCAGAATGAGCCAAGTGAATGAGTCACACTGGAAGTCATGCTTAATTTGTCTATTGTTTCTCTTTACTTGTCAGCCTAAGAGTTCAGTCATGGTCACTGGGAACAGAGTGACCCCTCTCGGGTGATGTTGTCCTGCTAACGCTGTCTTTTTCCTTACAAAATGCAACAGACTTTAGACTGGCATGGGATGCTGGAAGGAACTGGAGAGTGACAGACAGCAGTAGGCCTGACTGAGAAACAAACAAGCTGTGAAGAGAGAGCTGAAGATTTGCCAGTGAAAAGATTAGAGTGGCATTTGGCTCAAGTGCCAAGATGCATCGTTGCTTTTACCACACTGTCATGGCAACGGAAGCTTTATGCTTTCCTCCCAGTCCCCCACTGAGTGTCCAGACTGTACCAAAGAGCCATTTTAAAACCTTGTGATTATTCACACTGACCCTGACATTTACCTAGTTAGTCATGTACAACATAAATGACATTTTTTTACATTTATCTGTGTGAAATAGACACATTTCTAAGGCTATATTCTCTTTTAAATGGCACATAAATGAGTGAGCGTAATAAAAGTGTTTTATAAACGTGCACATAACCTCAGCTGAGCATCCCTACAGGCCCATCCACCCCAGTGCTCCCATTTGTCATGCAGGGCACCTCTGTTCCCTTGTGACCAATCAGGGGTGCCTCCGTGGCATACACAGACACACACCACCACCACCACTTCATCATCAGAAGTGATTGACAGCCTCCTTCAGGAAGGAGGGGAGTTATTTACCTCCTTATGTTCTCATGGGACTAAGTTAATGATCCCAGTGAACAAAATAATACAAAGAGGGAAAAACCTGAGAAGTCGGTGCCTGGTTGAACCATTTGGAGCAGTTTCGGCTTCCTTTAAAGAGGATTAGAGAAGAAGAGGCTGTGTGAGGAGAATTTCAGAGATAGCGGTGAGACAGACGATGCTGCAGAGCCCAAACAGAAGGTAGGCACTAAAGGGAAGCTTCTGAGGAAAGCCAGGAGTTTCTCTTCCTGGGTTTTATTCTTGTCTTAATTTGTCATTTGGACAAATGATTGACTGACTAACAGACTGCAAGGTAAGGGGTGATCTGTATTTCCAGTGGGTGACACTTTAAAGTTTCCTTGAAGTCTCTTTTAGGCTTTAAAGTTAGACGTTGAGAAAGTTGGAGTGCTAAAATAGACCTGCTTTTTGCAGTATTCTGCATGTTCTTTTGTCTGCATGTTAAACATTTAGGAAATTATTCCTGGCTTGTGAAAACCAAATGTCAACGGTGGTGTTGTGATATGGTTGTTTTCTTTTTTCCCAATGTTTTATTCTGCAACTGAATGCAATTTAGGCTTCAATGCCTGTGATTTCACACAGCACATTATGAGCATGCTGCCACAATCTTTGCATTAGCATTGGGTTTTGTGCCATTGCCTCGATGTTAGTGTTTGCATTACTTTTTAAGTCATTATCTGCCGTCATAAGCCCTAGAATCTAAATTGTTTTCATGGCTTTCACCCTTCTTTTCACCCTACAGACTAAACTGATACACAGGGACTCCTGGCAGACACTCCAGGTTACTAATCCAAATCAATCCATGCCTTATGTGCTGTGTTTACTACATAACATGAACTTTGTCTCTAGAGAGATTTAGCATATTAAAAACACTGACTTGGTGGCGCTGACAAGGCCTCCTCAGGTAATGGCCTCCAACTATAAAATAAAAGTCCCATAGTTAAACAGTGATTGTGGGCTCAAATCCAAAGCTGAGAAACTAATGAAATTTTATGTGACCAGTATCACTGTCTGGATCAGCCAGCACATGGTTGTGTTGGGATCATTTGCAGCCAAAGACTGGTGTGTAGATGCCAGACAACTTTCAACACTATCTAAGTCAGCTGTCGCAACCACAGTACATTCCTGTATGTTTCCATTTCAGTGAATGTGCTCAACAAAGGGCGCTATTGCTTTGAGAAACAAGGTACCCCACCTCTTGTCCAAAGTCAGCTGGGATAGGCTCCAGACCCCCCCGTGACCCTATTCAGGAATATGCTCTATAGATAATGGATGGCAGGATGGATGGATTGTCTGTTAATATATTTTAGTTCATGGAGCATTGATTTAGACAAAATGCATGACTCTTGGCCTTTCTATAGAGTATAATTATCATTGATTACTGCTTTTGCACTATTTCATTTGCCAGTATTGGATCTTGCCTTAAGCATGAAACACATTTCCAACTACAATAATCTAGACTGAATTTGTTGGTTCAAACTATACAGCAATTCAGCAGTTTCCCTGAGTATGGCTGATATTACTTGGAAATATTATACCAATTATGCAAATATCAAGAAAGAGTTTGTTTTTAGTACTCTGATTATTTTTGTTGTCAGGGTTTGCTCTGAGTGACAGACCAAACCAGCAGAAGTACTGCCCCTTTCATATGATTGGCTGATACAACAATTTACAGCCCACTGAGTTTCAATGGGATAGGTACCGTTTTTAGTGAGAGGACAGAAAAGAGTGGAAAGTTGTGATCCTTCTGCTGGTTTTCAGTAGTCTTACAGAACAAGGAAAACTCCCAAAAAGAAGAGACGAGTCACTTTGCTTCAGTCCGTTGCAGTGGATCAGCTTTGCCAAGTCCCAGATATCAACGCTGACTGACTTTCAAGGTGGCTCTTTCCTGTCTTGCCTGTTTATGGATGTAATCATGTGGTGGGTAAGTCAGAGGGTCCTTCTTACCTCTCAGTCTGTATTTTATGTCACTGTGCCTCTATGATTTGCAGCCATTTTATGTGTCGTCATATGTTTCCAAGCCTCCAGGCTGGGCTGTATACAAGTGTCGAGGTTGTCAGAGGGTCCTCCTTACCTCTCAGTCTGTATTTTATGTCACTGTGCCTCTATGATTTGCAGCCAAACCATTGTGTCGTCATATGTTTCCAAGCCTCCAGGCAGGGCTGTGTACAAGTGTCGAGGTTGTTTGGCCTTGTTGTGTTGACAGATTCCTTCATGTGTTCAACTTGAGGGATATGACGACTAAGTGAGAAGGCCAAGGGGAATTTTGTGATTAAAAAGTACCAAAGCAGAGTGGGAGTAGCTTTCCAGTGTCAGAGCAGCTATTCGGTGTATGCTTTGTTGAATTCCTTAAAAAATATATTTCTACATAAGCTTGACTAAAAGATTGAAATATAATTTGTCATCACAATTACTGCAGTGTACCTTTCAGATTTACAGTGTGTATGAAAGTATAAGTACAGTCTATTCTTCCCTCTTTTCATCATAAAAGCCTTCTATTACCTTTACTCCACTGAGGGAGATAAAAAAAAAAATGCCCTTCATCACATAATCTGGCAGCTTCATGACCTACCGAATAGCATTTACTCCACTGATAGGATAAAAGATACAGTACAAACATTTCTCCCAGCTAAACAGTGCACACTGACAGTACATCTGGACACACTTTGTGACAGATCGACACACATAGGAGTCATTTTACATGAAGCTAATGCAGAGTTAAACTGGGACATTGCAATTGAGTCTGTGGTTTTCCTTATTAATTAGTAACTTGTCGTGTTCCTGTGAGGAGGAATGCTAGACATCTTCCCACCAGTGTACTGCCTGTGATCACTAGTGTGACAAATGGATATCAAGCTGTCACCATGGAAACAATGTGTAGGTTGTTATGAAGATGCGCTGCAGTGGTTTAAAAAGAAGGGTAAGTTAATATTTACTGGAGAGTAGCTGAGTGAAAAGTAATGCTTATTGTTTCAAAAATAGTTATTATTTAAAATAGCAGAATTAGGCAAAATTGGATTTGGAACATTTTTGAATTATAGTCATTTTGTCAATTAGTCTGTAATTGTAAAATGTCACCATGTAATTGAGGCAATTTTCATGGTAAGAAAGGACATTTTAAGATGATAATCTACACTGTATTTTAGAAGTCAGCCACATGATGTCACTCTTTGCATGTTTTCCTCAGCACTGCAACATCATTCTTGTTGAATGACGTCTAAAAATTGCTTATCCACACATGAAGCAGGGTGGATAAGTAGGCAAAAACTTGGTTTGTATATTTTGAGTTGAACAGTGTGTGCTGCTTCTTCTTTGAGCTCTGTGAGACATTTGTTCTGCTTGGACTACGAAGCAGCAGGCTGCAGCTGCATAGTTGGACAGTGACTATAAAGTTCCTGTGGTTATGGAAATGATAGCCTTTTTCCCGTCGATGCCACCTGCCAAGCCACAGCGAGGATATGAGTTTGGTGAAATTACTAAAGCTGACCACGATGACCTGTACAGCGCAGACAGTAAGCGCAGTGAGACAGGAAAGGAAAAATTGTTTTACTGACCTTTAGAACTTTACTTTCAGCTTCAGTCTCTAAGAAACTCATTAGCTACAAACACTATGTGCCCTTCATTACAGGTTTTTAGTACTTCATCTGGAGCTTCATTAGTTTATAAAACATCCCACTCAATGGGGAAGGAAGTTGTAGCCTCTGAATGGAAAGGTGATTTGAGTCATCTGTTGCTTTCATTACAATTGAATGTGTATTGACAACGGTTTGGCAGATGAGTGCACAGCAAAAACGTATAAACCTATCATATTGCTCCGTGCAATCCTGTGTGACAGAACAGCTCTAAATCCAAATATTTAGATTTGTAATTAACTTGCCCTCCATAATCATTTAAATAGTAATAATGGGTGTTGGTCAGGGCCAGGCTCCATGAAGCTAATCTCCGTAATGTGTGCAGCTGCAGATCAGGTAGATTTGTCATTCTAATCAGCTGGTTTGTGCTTCTACAGCTGTAAATTACATTAGACCTGAGTGGGCCGCTGCTGAGCTGGCTGCTTCAGGGAGCAGCAACAGCTACGCCACACATTGGTCACAGCTATGCTGTGAGGACAGGATTACAGATAAATATGTTAGGTGTCTGCCCCAAGAAAGAAGACAAAGAGCAATCACACTCTGTCAGTCCCTGAGTACATGGTTCAGAGCCATCATTACGGGCGATAAAAGACCATAACCAAAGGGATTAGAAAGTGCTTGAGCTGGAAATTGTCTTCTTATCTGAGACGTTGTAATTGTTATATGACCCATTACTTCCTAATCAAATAACACTCCAAATGTTAAATTACTACTCAAGTTCATCATTTGACAAAGCACGCAACACTGCTGCTTCAAACCATGCTTCAATGCATTAAGCAATTTGAATCGTAATTCTGCTGTGCAACACATAAACTACAAACAGTAAAATTACATATAAATTCTATTTTTTGTCCAAAAGGAAGCAGTTTCCTCAGACTATTTGCTGATTGTTCTCATGATACTAAATTTCATCCCAGTTGGAGATGATATAAAAGAAACCTGGGCAATGCCTGTCGCATTCCCATGTAGAGCTCCCTAGCAATGTAGTTCACACCCACTGCTGTGTCTGAACTTTAGGGTGTCTTTAATATTCACTGTTTATATCTGCCTCTCAGAAAGGATAATAGCTCTGAGGACCTTTTGAATGACAGTAGAATTCAAATGGAGCACGGTGGGGGTGTGTCTCTAAACAAAGGCACATGGTTAGCGGATGGTACCTTGGTGATTTACACACAAGGGCCAACTGAGACAGACTTGGATGTAACACATGATGATATGTAGTGCCTGTCTTTGCAGTCTTGCCTGTCAGAGGACATGGTTAGTGTTTTCACTTCTTGCTGACAGGAGGGTGACATACAGTTACAATTATTTTACAGCCTATAGAACTGTGGCACTCGTGGGAAATACTACATGTCATAAGCTTCTGGAGAGACAGACAGACTGATGTAATTCACTGGTTACATATCACCTTGTTTGTTGGTAGTCGAGGAAATCGCAGACCTCTGTCCCAGGTTACAGATGAATCTGGGTGCCTCTCAGGCTGCCTCTCAACTGTGCTTGTGTTTTCAGCCTTTCTGTTTGAGTCCCCAGTGGCACAGCCAGGAAACGTTCCAATCCACAGCATTGTGCCGCTAGAAGCAGAGGGGTGGTCATACTGAAACTGATCCTGATGCTTTGAATTTGTGAATGAACAGGGCAGAGGACACTAACTTGTATGTGAGGGCATGGGCTGGGGCTCTGCACAATCCTGCCTCTGCTTATTTGCTGATTTTGTCTTCCTCTCTTTCTTTGAGTCTCTTGCTGTTGCCTGCTCTCTCTCTTCTTCCAGTACTGGCCAGCACTCCAGCTGTAGGTGGAGCTGGCTTTCCTGGAATTGTCGGGCAACTTTTCCTGTTGTGCTTGCTACCTCTTGCTCAATCTCCTGCTTAATGACAGCTCTGCTGCAGGATTATTGGGGCTGTGAAGACTTGTATCATCTGGATGTCCATTTCTACAACATGCTGGGGTTTATGGCTGGTGCATTTGTTGTCATAAATATATTTTCATGATTGGGGTCAGCGGTTTTCCTTCTGCAGAAATGGTTCGGCAGTACAAAGTGGGGCGAAATCCATCGGTGGGTAAAGTGTGTATGAATGAGAGAGCTTTCAGGAGAGCTTAATGTACTTGTGGCTGTAACGGTTTGCAATGACTCTTTTCCATAGTGCTATTTCACAAACATTGTGTAACTTGGGGTTATTGTATATCATAGTTGATGACATCAGAGGATTAGTGTCTTTGCATTATGTTTATCATACAAAGCTCTTTATTCTTTGTATATTTTGGACAACCGAGTGGAATTCACAACTTAACTTGCGCACTTACAGGATCCGCTATGTTGTAGCTGGTAGCTTGTGTCTCCGAGTGAAACTGTGTCCGGCTAACAGATAACATGTTGGACAAGTAATTTATTAGTTTCTTCTGCCACTGTTTATTTACTTTGAGGACATTTGCTTGGTTTTATCCTACTTACATATGTATGAGTCATTTAAGAATTATTCACCACAGTCATACAATACATTAGATTTGAAATTCAAATTTATGAATGATAAAAATACCATTTTTAAAACAATACCTGCCAAAATAGGTTTGCTGTTTAATATAACGCAATGTTGCAGACCTCTTGATGTTTAATATAATGCAACCCCCCAGTTTTTTTTTTAACAATGAGGGGTTTGCATAGTGAAGAGGTTTTCTGTGATCCTTCCAAGTAACTTCTAGACATCTAGAGTTGTGCTTTGTGTGAAATAAAGGCCCACAGATACATCACAGTCACTAGAGGCGAGTGCCACAATCCCCTCTTGTCTTGTACAGTGCAGTGTGATATCTGTCTGCGAAGATTTGAATAGGAATGGAAAGAACAAACCCAGGTCTGTATGCTCACAACTTCAAAAGACTACTTATGTCTGACCATCCCGATAATGAGCTGTAGCTTCTTCACACATAATGAGTGGAGCTAGAGTTCACATAGAGAGATGCTGTGAGCACAGTGTGTCCACTTGCAGCTGGGGTGTCTGACTGGCTGGGAACAAAGGCTTAGTGTCTGTGATAGCGTGGAGCCCCAGCCATCAGCAAGCAAGCCAATAGACTTCTGCTTGGCTGAGCTGTCAGTTCTCACTGGCCTGCTGGTCTGCGGACTACAGTATAGAGAGGAACACATGGGGGAAGGCTAAACTATTCCTGTGCCAAATTAGAAAGAGCCGCTGAATTCTCGAAGCTGTAAGTTAAGCCAAATAGAGCTTACAAAAATCTGATATACACTATGTAAGTATTATATGCAAACACATGTTTTTGTTTAAGTGGTCTCCTGCTTGCTCATTTTATTTTTTTATTTGCTTCATCTCCATAATTCCACAGATATCTCTTGCAAATATTTAAATGCGATTTATATTCCGAGTACATATTCAGCTTGGAATGAAAATCAAATGAGACTCCTATGTGTGAGATACGGATGAATAGTTTAGTTTTTATTATCTTAAGTACTTGAAAATATGCATGATATTGTTGTTTTGTTCATCACAAATAGCAAAACATGCCTGTTAAAATTTCCTCAAGCCAAATATATATGCTGATTCATTTTTTGTTGTTTGATTATTAATTGGATAATCATTTTAGCACAACAGGATATGCTGCAAGGCAAATCAGAAACTCCAGTTTGAGTGTTTACAACTTCCCACAGTTTAACTTGTTGTTTAATTACCATCATTCTCTCATTCATTTCTGTGCCATCTTTACAGATAGCTGATCAGCTTCCCTGGATTTCGCTGACAACCCCTCTTTGTTTTGCCTGAAGATGGAAACACTGGAGTCAGAGCTGACCTGCCCAATCTGTCTGGAGCTCTTTGAGGACCCACTGCTCTTGCCCTGTGCTCACAGCCTTTGTTTCAATTGTGCTCATCGTATCCTGGTCTCCCACTGCACCCCTAGTGAGTCGATCCAGTCCATCAGCGCCTTTCAGTGCCCAACCTGTCGCTATGTCATCAGCCTCAACCAAAGAGGCTTAGAGGGACTCAAACGAAACATAACCCTGCAGAACATCATTGACCGCTACCAGAAGGCCTCTCTGAGTGGACCTAACTCTCCTAACGAGACTCGACGTGAGCGAGCCATCCCCGACAGCAAAGCCATGACGTCTCCCAGTGAGCGGGTGCAGTGTCAGTTCTGTGAGCAGGACCCTCCACAGAATGCTGTGAAGACCTGTGTCACCTGTGAGGTGTCATACTGTGACGAGTGTCTGAAGGCCACTCACCCCAACAAGAAGCCTTTTACAGGCCACCGTCTAATTGAGCCCTTACTGGACTCCCATCTGCGAGGGCTCATGTGTCTGGAGCATGCGGATGAGAAGGTCAACATGTACTGTGTGACAGATGAACAGTTGATCTGTGCACTGTGTAAGCTAGTTGGCCGACACCAAGACCACCAAGTAGCAGCCCTCAGTGAGCGATATGACAAACTCAAGGTAAGAGCTTGTGGAATGTTTGGGATCTCTGCTGAATTTTTTTATTTGTTCAAAACCTTTTTTCAGCAGTATCACGTTACTTGACAGGTAAACAAACTATTAATAAATGTGATCAAATTTCATTTTAGTAAAAAACGTGATGTCTCTTATCTGGTCTCAAATGTTATGGACAGCCAATGCAGGAGACTGCTTTCACAGTTTTAGGTTAAATGGAACAACTCACTTTCAGCAGGCGGGCTGAAATCAATAAGGCATGAGACGACGCTGTTAGCTGGAGCATATAAAAAGTGGCTTTGCATGTCTTCCATTGTAGATGTGAATTAGCTTCTATCATAAAAAGTAAGTGTGGGTCTGGCTCTGACAACCTCATGGTATTGTTCCACAGGCACTTCAAGGCAGTTGTACAGTGGAGCTTTATTCTGAAGCATCTGCAAAATATATAGTATTTATGTGAGAATAACTCAGCTGGATTGAGCTTTCAGTTTAGTTTAAGTTTACCCAAGTTCATCTGTTATCCAGAGAACAGCATGGTATGGAGTTCATGAAATAAAAATGAGGGTCCTTTTTTCACTCACAATATTGAATAACACACAAAAGGAGGGCTCACTGTATGTAACACTCTAAACCCCTTTGTGCCCATTCCTCTGTTTCGCAATGCTTGATCACGGTGGAACTGCACAAGCATTTGCAACATTTTAGCAAGATAGGTTAGAGGACCAGCCCTAACCTGCCTGTCACCTTTGTTTGTTCGTGCTGTCACTGTGCAGAAATCTCTTGGCCGCTTTCTCTGTGTGGGACATGATCATTCACACCAGGAGACAGACTACGTGATCAGAATCATTTGTTGAATTCAACATTCAGGGACAGATTTATCTTATATCACAACCTAGACCTGCATGGTTTTAAGGGCTCTAATTAATGTGGTTATCCTAAGCCAGCAGTATGAGTGAAATAGAAGTGATGTACAGTACACCCTGTGCTCATTGTGCGCCACATAGACCTGGTGGTTATTAATGTCACACATATGGTGGTCTGCTTTTCATTGTTCATTGCACATTCTCCAGGTGGTTAAAGAAAGTAGATTGTTGGTCAGATTGTCCTTTATCTTTTATTTCCTGTTAGGCTTATCTAGCTATGATCAGGTTTTCTGCTATTTCTATATCTTCAGTTGCTTGATGCAGTTTTACACTGAGATACATTATATTCTACTAACCTACAGTATGTCTTTGTTTGTTTTTGAATTTCCTTGACTTCACATTATGTGCTATTAGCTGCATTGTTAGAAGCCTGAAGTGACAAGGAAACAGCAATTCCCATTTTACAGAGAAGTTGTTTTGTTCTTTTGGCACACAGGCCAGGAGCCAGGTGGCATGCAGCTGAGCTTGTTCATAATTATTGGGCTTTCCAAACACATGTTTACAGCAACGGTGCCTCACATTTTTCAAAAAATTCCCGCTGAAAAGGATACTGTGACACTGAAAAGGTGTTTGTGTGTATGTGCAGTCATATACAGTATAATGCAATAATTTCCTTTGTCTGTTTTTGGCATTATGTGAAGTGGTGTGGTATTATATCTATGAAAGGGAGATGAAGTCTTTGCTTATTGCATGTTCAAGAAAAAACTCAGGTTGCCAGTTTGTCTCAGAGCTTATATAGTGTACAAACAACTCTACTCACAAAAAATTTCAAGTTTCAACTGAATGTGAGTTGAAGCTGTGAGAAGAAACCCATGTAAACCCATGGAAAATATGCAGAATCAACAAAGAGAGCACCAGGAATGCAATTCAAACCCACGACCTTCCTACAGTTTGGTGACTAATCACCAATGCTAGTACTGACATATCTAAGGGTGTAAAAGGACAGTTATAGTTGCACAACTTTCAAAAGAGTCAGCTAGTTAAATAGCTTCAGATATACTGTAATTTCATATAATTTTATACTACAATTTTCTTATCAAGGTTCACCAAATACAATCATAGAAAATTAAAAACAAAAAGGTGGATACCACGAGTACTGCACTGCACACTATGTTTGCAGGACACCAGAGAACCTTATGGCCTGTGCTCTTTTCCTGCAGGATCTGCATGTCAATTCTGATCTCTCCCGAGCTATAAAGATACCTCCTCACGTTATTCATTATACTTAAATTCTGAAATGACCTAATGTGACTTTAACAATCAGTGTGCCTAAGGTAAAAAAATATTATTGTTTTAAATGTTACAAGGCACATTTGGCACCCCATCTCAAATTGAAAACAATATGACAACATATAATAATAATAATAATAATAATAATAATAATGGAAATAAAACAAAAAAAATCTGTTATGTTAAGGTACAATATGTGATTTAAATTTAATCACAAGGTTTGGAACCTGCCTTCACTCCCACCTTGATTGACAAGTCTTTTAATAAGTCTTTCTCATAATATCAGGATCTTCAAACTGAAGCATATAAATGGACTTCAGACAACTTTAAATGTATTATTTATGTCTGTGCTTTTCTTACTGTGACATATTAAAATGTCTTCAGTATGTACTGTACACAAACAAGACAACATGCAACAAATAAATAAATACATCTTGTTATTTATCTTTGTTGTAGAAATATGAGTAAAACTGAGCCATATTTAAAATTGTTCTCAGATGCGATACCCACTGAAGTATTTAGGTAACAGATACTGCTCAGTAATGTATATTTATACACTAGAATAACACTACTACTTTTTAGCTTCATGTGTTTGTGAAACTGAATGAAAGCTTAAACTGCCCTCCAGCAAAGTAAAGAGAAGATGTGTAACTGAGCCTGTGGTGTTCACAGGATGAAGTGGCAACCTTTGACAATGGATAACATTTCAAATGTTGACACAGGATAACACTCCAAGTCCTGACGGTCCTGACTTGTCAGTCAGGACTGTAAGAGGAAGGAAGAGAAACCAGCCAAAGCAAAGGTGTGGGACCAGAAGCATTCACACACAAGAGGAAGTGCCATTCTTTCTTCTCATCAGCTTCAAATGATTTTAGGAAAGAGACATCCATTAGAGAGAGCTGTCTAAACACATAAAGAGGATTAAAGTTGCAAGATTAGCCCATTTTTTTGCACATTGAAAAATCCAGTATAGGCTACAGCACAATGAGAGAAAAGAACTCACTTTGTCCATCACACTTTCTGTCTTTTCCATTTGTTCTCCCTCTTTCTGTATGACTTCAGACACTGGAGACAATTTAGCTTGAACATTTGGCAATATTCAGTATCAGTTAGATTAATACAGTTATGTTTCATGCATCTGTACTAAGTTTTGAACCCACCTCAACACTACCAGCAACTCTGAAATGGCTTTCATGACCTTCTCTTCAATATAAATAAATCATAATTGTGAGAGCAGTAAAATAAAGCTTCTGCTATTTTTAGTACACAGTGATGCACACACCTCATAAAATCACAATGTGAAACATCTAACATGAAGTAGGTCTCCCCAATATTCACCCCAAGCTTTTGATCTTGGCAGGCTTATTCTATTCTTTGGCTATTGGCAGTTTGTCTCTTGATAAAAGGAAATCATGAACACCGGTCAAAGTGTTTTTTGAAGTAAAACAAATTGCAATGTTTATGCTTTGTAACATGTGAGATGAAGTGAATATTAAATCCATCTTAGACATCAGTTATATCTTCTTTCTTAAATCAAGTGTTGTAGTGTTATTCCCTGGTCGGTGCAGATTACAGAGTTTGTCAGTCAAGACTTTTAATAATAGATTGTTACAATCATTCTTCTTTTTCAGTTTTTATCTGAGTGTGTGTATTAAATCACCTGTTAGTCAGTTTTGGTGCTGCAACATTTTCTAAACATCTGTTTTAAATTTTGGTGAGACTAAAATCAGAATCAGAATCAGAATCAACTTTATTGGTCAGGTGCGTCAGACACACGAGGAATTTGACTCTGGTACTATACGTTTGTTTCCATTTAAATCATAGATAGCACACTTAAATGTAAGTACTCATTAATCCTGTATTTAAGAAGAGTAATACTTTACAGTATCAGAAGACATTTTGTACCACCAAGGCACACAGTCATCACGCCTCCCAATTACAGTAAGTTTGAAACATAAGCCTTTGATCTGAGTCAGTGATTAACACAGCCGAGGTTTAGTTGTCCAAATCACTGGCAGATGCTCTGCTAAGCTTCGTGGCCTCAGCAGGCAGCATGATGGGATCTTTGGCATACAGGGAGGACTGGTGGTGGTGGTGGTGGTGGGAGGGCTCCACACTACTCAGAGACCAAATGTAGCCAGTCATATCCAGTGGCAGCCTTGTGTGTCATCTCCCGAGCACATTAGACTTGAGCCAGATACGGTCCTCCTTATGTTCCCATTCACATAACTCTCCTCCAAGATTTATTCAGCTGTTTACAGTTTGATGGGGGGTACAGTGTAGAATGAGCTATTCCTTTTCAATTTTGTTTTGCAGCAAGCCTTGGATTCCAACCTCAGCAATTTAATCAAGAGGACCAGTGAGTTGGAAAGTCTGATGAGCAAACTTATCCAAACCTGCCAACATGTGGAGGTGAGGCTGTTTATCTGTTCTCTTTCAGGTGGTAGCTCTTAGATTCTGTGCCATTTCATGGACAACAACCCCTTAAATTATTAACACCATGATAAATTACTGTATCTGATAGTGGCTTTTCATGATGTCAACAAGATGAAGTGCTCAGTAGTCTACAGATCAATAACCTCTGTAATGTAAAATGCATGTAGTTTGCTGAAAACTAGTATTTTCAGTGGAAGTGTGGGCCAAATATGTACCATACAAAGTGAATAAAGAATAGTGATGCTAAATTGTTATATTTATGTTACTGTCCTTGCTGGGTTGGTCAAGTTTGAGTGTCGCTTCATTAATAGGCAACTCTTGGTGTTATTTGTTTGCTACAGTGGCTGTGACAATAACATGAGTTGGAATGACATGAATTACACTCTAAAGTGGGTTTCCTGTCACATGGGATTTACATAAATTTAATTGTGCACCACAACATTTTACCAAAGCAAATGAAGTACACTTCCATTATCGACTGTTTCTTATCTATACTTCTTGTCCTGTCTAGGTAAATGCGACGCGGCAAGAAAACAAATTGCTGGAAGAGTGTGACCTGCTGATTAATATCATACAGCAGCGAAGACAAATCATAGCTACCAAGATAAAAGAGGGAAAGGTACTCTTTATCACCTTTTGTGTCTTGATAACCTTTGTTTGTTGATCAGCTTGCGTGTTCTGTCGGGCTCACCGACCCACGGAGCTGACAAGCTAGTTTACAACTTAATATCTGAGCACAGTGTTCTTCTCTTTTCTAGGATGCAGCTGTAACATGCTACAGTTGTTAGGTACAATGTTATATCTTCAAAATGTTCTGAAGGTATTTTCAGAATTCATAAAGGCACTTGTATCTCAATGAAAAAATGTTGTGCTGCATAATTTAAAAAAATCTGTTCTATAGTTGAAAATTGTACGTTATTTATTTTATTAGACAAAGAAAAGTAAAATTTGACAGCCTAATTTATTGAAACAAGATGTGCAAACTCTCCAGTAGACATGTTTCGTACTGGTGATCTCATTCCATTCACACTCAGTCACGGCACCTAATGTTTTTAAAGCAAATGACTGATGAGAATGAGAATGACAGTCTACAGTAAATTAAATGAAATGTACTCTATCTGTAAGTGCCAACAACAATACTGCATGGTCTTCTTTTATGAAGTTAAATGATATATTCCATAGCTTTATACGTTTTGAGTGTTTTGAATATCAACAGTGATGGATTGCTAATTGTCCTACTGTGCATTATTAGATATACAAGCTTTAATATTAAAACTACCCAGTTCCTTCATCTTTTTACTTCCTAATCTGTTTTGTGGAGGCACCTTTGCCACCTAGGATAGCTTATCTTGCACTGGTGGTTCAGAGACAGCTTTGTCACATCTCAGCTTATTTAAGATATCAAGCTTGTTCTCTTTTTCTGGCTCAGACAGCTGTCGACATGTCCTCAAATCTGTTTGGATGCATTCTTTTCTTTGGCTTTGTGTGTTTGTACATGCTGGGAATACTCACCAGACTGCAGAATTTATTGCTTTGTTTTGTCTTGCCCATCACTCCCCGGCTCAGCGCTTTTGGCACAAAGTCCATACATTGAATGTGAAAGTTCTATGATATTATTTCCCTTCCTTTTTCTCTGTTAGCTGCCATTAGAGAGGCTGTGGCATGCCGTGATAACCCTCTCAGGAGGCAGACTCTTTCCTTCCTCACCCCGTGCCTCCTGTCAGGTTCTGAGGTTGCTATCAGCCACTAAGCCAGTGAGGCACAGATGGTCTAGGTCTGATGATGAATGTTTCATAAATAAATAAATAACCTTTGGTGCCATAGTAGCATGTAGCAAAGGTTGTTCTGTAGCCATGTGCATGCTGCATAGCTGAAAAATCTAATTGTCAGTGGTGCAAATCAGATTTTTTTCCCCAGTAGAATTTTCTAACTGGCAAGGTCAAAGCAAATCTAGCATCTGGCAGGTTGGCAGATCATGCAGTAGGATATACATTAGTTGGCTTCTTGACCAAGATTTTCATCTATCAGCATGTTATATTGTCTGCCCAGTCTGTGCGGCTGAGGAAGCTGGCCCAGCAAATATCCAGCTGCAAGCAATGCATCGAGAGGTCCACCTCCCTCATCTCTCAGGCTGACCAAACCCTCAAGGAGACAGACCACGCTCGCTTCCTTCAGACGGCTAAAAGTATCTGTGAGAGGTGAGGAGACAGGAAAGGTACTACTATCAACAGAAGGCATACAGTACACAGTGCAGTGTATAAAACAGTGACAATCTCCTTTATTTACTTTTTTATTACAGAGTGTCCATGGCAACCACATCCTCACAAATCCTGTTACCAGAAATTAACCTGTATGACACTTTTGATAGTTTTGCTTTGGACTTCACAAGGGAGAAGAAAATGCTAGAAAGCTTGGATTACCTCACAGGTGAGTTGGGGCATGTGCACAATTAAGTACACAATATTTTATTTACCCTGCGACTTTTGTGCAGCTTTTGACACACACTCTACAATTTTTCCAACTTATAATTTTAGTGGCTTCTTTTATCCAAACAGTGCACTTGATATTATCCTCACCTGATCCATCATTTATAAATTCACACAAATCTAAGGTTTTAGCATAAATAGAAACAGATAGTGTAACTTTCAAAATGCTGGGCTGCAGATAAGAATGAAACAGGTTTGATTGTTTACACTTGATGCCTTCTGTACAATGTGAATTTAATTCTGCATAAGGGCTGTAGCTGTGATAGCTGGGGGAACTGCTGCCCAGCTTAATTATACTTGTCAGGACAAAAAACACAAATGGATGGCGCTATTTACCACCGCTGGTCTCTGCAACATAGTGAGTTTTCCTGTTTGTTATTGGTGTGTTACTGTGTGCAGAACAGAATCCACCCAGCTTTCATTAATGTCTTAGAATGATATTTGTCTTTTGTTTTCTGATTGCAGCACCAAATCCACCAGTCATCCGTGAGGAATTATCTACTGCCTCGTATGACACCATCACAGTTCACTGGACATCAGATGACGAGTTCTCTGTTGCGTCATATGAACTCCAGTACGCCATCTTCACCAGCCAATCTAATGTTGTCAGTAAGTCTATATGGAGCTCTTCGGTGTGCGTTTAGTATATTGTTAATGGTGGAAACCATGAAAATGCTGGAGGGCTTTGAAAGGTATTTCAATGAAGGACTTGTTACAATATCCAAACATATTATTGTATAGTATTTGCAAGAGCTGAGCGCTTTGTCCTGGATCAGATTGCTAATGAGATGTTACCAAAATATCCCACAAAATTTGAAGTGTCTAGGAAAGGATATCAGGAAAAATAACAGCTCAGTCAGACATATGCACATCATAGGCTCCATATTATCTGGGGTGTTCAAATGAGCTGCAGACAGTTTGAATTGATTGCTGTAATGAGGTCACAACAGGTTTGGTCATGCAGTTTACTCTCATCTGCCTCAGTGCTCAAGCACACTTGCATGAGCGGTAATCTAGCAGTGTAGGTCTGTCTGATGAGTCAAAAATACAACACTGTACACAGTTACACTGTTTTGTCTCTCTTCTTAAGTTTCCATGATAAATTGGTTTGTTCTTTGTCAGTGATTTGTTATGTCTGGGCTGCAGGTTTGTGTAACTCTGCTGATAGCTGGATGATTGTACCGAACATCAAGCAAAATCACTACACTGTGCACGGACTCCAGTCCGGAACAAAGTACATTTTCTTAGTGAAAGCCATAAACCAGGCTGGAAACCGCAGCAGTGAACCAGGAATACTCAAGACAAACAGTATGTGAAGTTCAGCAACTATATAAAATGTATTCTTATGTATCCTATGTAAGCTTAAAAACTCTGACTGACTTTTTTTTAAAGGCCAGCCATTCAAGTTAGACCCAAAGTCTGCTCACCGCAAGCTGAGGGTGTCCCATGACAATCTGACAGTAGAGAGGGATGAGATATCATCCAAGAAGAGCCACAGCCAGGACCGCTTCTCCAGCCCTAGCAGCTATGGTGTCACAGGAAATGTCTACATTGACAGTGGCTGTCATTACTGGGAGGCTCTGATAGGAGGAAGCACATGGTAAAAATATTTATCTGTTTTCAGCCACACTAGCAGTGTGGCTCTTAGGATAGCAGTGTAGGTCTGTCAGGTGGTTGGGTTGGTCCATCCTTCCCATAAAAAGTGGTGCACAAATTCATGTTCTCCATCTAGCAGGTGAAAATCTAACTGAATTCTAACATGCTAAACTAAAATCATGAACATGGTAAGTGCGACCTGCTAAATAACCATCAGCATAATAACATCAATATTGTGAGCTTATTAGCATGGTGATGTTAACATTTACCTCAAAGCATTACCGTGCCAAAGTATAGCCTCATAGAGCTGCTATAGCACAACCCCACTTAACTGTGTTTATTTCATCATGCATAATGTTTCAGATGTACAATGCAAGAAGTGTACCAATATTTGTGACATTTTTTGTTTTTTATTGGTTATGCAGGTTTGCAGTGGGCATTGCATACAAATCAGCACCAAAACAAGAATGGATTGGCAAAAACTCAGCCTCCTGGGTACTGTCTCGCTGCAACAACTTGTGGGTGGTGCGTCACAACAGTAAGGAGATGCCCATAGAGCCATCTCCCCACCTGCGGCGTCTTGGAGTATTGTTGGACTATGACGCTGGATCCCTGTCTTTCTACGATGCAGTCAGCTCCCAGCACTTGTATACATTTGACATAGCCTTTGCTCAGCCAGTCTGTCCTGTGTTCAATGTCTGGAACAGGTGTTTAACAATCCTCACCGGACTGCCCATCCCAGACCACTTAGAGGTGACAGACTACAACAACTAAAAAAACCAGTCCTGCTGGATTTCCTTCGTGTACCCAAAAGAGACCAGACTGTCAGCATCTCTTTGATTGAGATGACCACATACTTAATGTTGATCGAATAACAATAGTAGTCGAACATGATGCAATTAATTTCCCTTGTAAACATTCCTAATCAAGCCTGTGTTGAAATTATTTGGAACTATTTAAGAGTTTGTAAATGTATTTCTTTGCTTTGCACATTTATGTACATTACTCTGCTGAATGGTTTAAGGGTTTGCTTACAATTAATGAAGATATTTTCATATAGGCTCCAGATTTTTATTTTTAAGTTCATATTAAATGTGTTTCCATTCCTTTACTGTTATGGGGGCAATGATAAATCTTAAAAAATAAGCGGCTTCGACTATAATGTTTCTAAAGGTTGCATTTTTAAATGTAATGTTCTTGAACAATTTTTTTTAAGCCATAGCACTTTGAGAAGACAAAGGTGTCACTATAAAATGCATTTCTAAGCGACAAGTCTAAAAAATGTTTCCTTGTTCTTGTTTTGTAAAAAAAACAAGGCACATAAACAGAAATTAACAGTTTCATTTTGAATGTTTTATTTGAAATAAGTTTAACAATTTTCAAATATTTATTATCTTTAAACTTTTTAATACAGTTCACCATTTTGAGATTGTTCATTTTCTCATTCTAGCTGTTTAAAATGAGCTCAGCAGTACCATTTCCACAATAAAATCTCTCTGTGACAAGATATAATAAAAATCATTTGATTACATGTGCTTTGTTCTCCTCATTTCAAGATGTAAACTGCACACTAAAAACATGCCTCATTAAGATGATAATTTAATATACTGTACACTTACTCACACTCATTTATATTTGTTCTGTCATTAAAGCTTGAGCAAGCCTCTACAGCACCACAGTGAAAAGAAAACATCGTCATCATGGAGAAAAGCATCAGTTGTGTTTAACTGGATTCACTCTGACCCACACTGAAGCCAAAATACAGCTTCTGATGAAATTTGCTCTGACATCTCTTTTTGTACTGAAGCAATGTGGCTTGAATTCTGCTGTGTCTCCTTTCAACTAAAGTGGCCAAGAGCAAGTAAGAAAAGATAAAAAAAAAAGATCTAAACTCTGTGTGACCTCCCTATGAGACATTTTTTCAGAGTTTGAATTTTTTTTAACACAAGTAATATAAAATGTTAAATGTCATAATGCAGAGAATATCTGCTGTGGTGTGCATAAATCAGCATACCGAGGAACTGAGTTACAATATTTTAAGACCACAGATTCATTGTGCAAAACAAAATCACATTTCATGTTATAAGTTATTATTGCTCGAAATAAATAAATAAATAAATTAATTAAATACATTTTTAGATCATTTTACATCACATTGCATGTCATAAAAATGACAAAATATAACTGCGTTCTAAATTGCCTTTGATTGTGAGATGTTTGCACTGATGCAACACTTAAAGCAAGTCTGATCAAACGCCTTATGCTGAGTGAATATGTGGAGAAAATATCAAATCTGCCAACATAATGAAAAAGAAATAAAAATCTACTGTAAATTTATGAGCATTAAAAATGAGCCCCAGGGCTCCACCTGCTGGACTTTTTTTAAATGATAGATTGATTTGCTGCTAGAGGCTCCAGTCTGTCCCACCCAAAAAGAAATGTTAGTCTATTTGTCTTAGTGTTGTAATAATATTATGGGCTTCAGCTGTCACCCAGAAGGTAAACTGAGTTCAAGGCATATAAAGAACAAACTGTACTTAGTCAGGAACAATCCAAATAAGACTAATGTGACCTAGATAAATTTTACAACCATATGAAGCCAGTGAGGTTATTGTAAATAAAGATTATGAAACATAAATATCTGCAATATAACACAAATATCAAATATATATAGTATCCTATTTATTTATCACAATTTATAAATGTATTTATGATTAGACAGTTAATCATAAAATCAGATTTGATTTCAATGTATTAAAACCATAATACACAACACACTTAAATATTCACAGAAAAAACCCCAAAATAAAACAAAACCAAAAGACCAATGAAACAAAAAACTCACACTCATTTAATATACTGTTATGTGAGACTTGAACATGCCAATAAAAATAAAATAAAATAAACAATAATTGTAAGCATTAATGTAAAAAATACTCCAATCTTGCAAACAAAATCATATTTAACTAAAAGTATCAGCAAGATGTACATAAAGTAAAAGCCCCTGATCCCTGTGACTGAAATATAGTATTATACAGAATATGCTATGATTAGCTTGTTAAGTGTGATGCATCAGTGCATCAATGTGTAAGAAGCATGTTAGTGGAGGGGGAGTGAGTTGTAACCTCTTCATCCATAAATAAAAACTAAGGGGTGATGCCATTTGGGAAAGGAAAGAAGAAAACATATTTCATTAATCTCAGCTTTTCTGTTAAATAATAGAATAGCAATATTAGATTAATAATACTTTTACTGAAATACTCCAACACTGGCTAAAGCCTATTATTATACAAATAATAAAATAGGCTACTGTAAATCAGCCTATTTCTCCTCCTTCCATTCCCATTAATTAAACGTTTTTATGCTATTTTCCAAGCCATCCAGCTTGTTTAAACAAGATGGAAGAAAAGATTATGATATATAATATTTCTCATTCCAGTTTTTAGACCTATTCTTCAGTTTTGGAGGTGTGGTTCTGAGCTGATCAGATACGTCACCACGCCACGCCTACACTCCCGGAACAGGAAGTACCTGTGCGCTGCTGCTGACGTTGGTTCTGTCTAAAGTAACGATGGCGTCCGCAGATCAGTCTCTCTTGGACATAACAGATAAGGATACTCGGGAGAAACTGTCGCTATGGGATCGCCGAAACGATGCCATTGCTCCCCTTACGGAGAAACAAATGGACTCTGTCCTGGAGATCCGAGCCGCAGCTGAAACGCTCTCTCTCCCTTCAGAGGTGAGATGACTCTGGAAACAGCTAGCGTTAGCTAACAAGACTGCTAACTTACTTTCTAAACACAAATGAGGTAAACCTAACCATAAAACTGTATCTGTACTAACTTAATTCAAATTTCTACTTTGTTAATAGGATATTCAACTTAATATATCACGGAGTTTTAGCTTGTAGGCTTGTAGCTAGCGGGCTTGGATTTGCATTTGTACTTCGATACGCCAAGCTATCCAGCTAGCTTCAAAAGGAGGCTTGTTCAGTCTGCTTAAAAACCCGGAGCCCTGTTTTGTTCTGCAGCTTCCCATTGAGGACTTGTGCAGTCTTTCTTCCCGGTCCTTGCAGTCCCCCTTCACCACGACTGTGCCCGCCTCAACAGAGGACGTCCTGCTCAAGGGTTTCCAGATGCTTGAAATGGAAAATGATAGGATAGAAACTGCACAACAGGTGACTGTGTTTGTCAGCAGTGCGGAGTTATATAGCCACTCTGGCTTACTACACCACAGTTAGACGAGTGTTTGTAATATAATGCCAATTTGTGTTGCAGTTTTTTGCCTGGTTTGCCAAGTTGCAGGCAAACATGGACCAGGAGGACAACGCAAAATACAGGTGCTTACATTTAAAGTGCTTCATTCTAGACTGTGGTGTCATGCTGTTTGTAATGGTTAGTTAATTAAGCCTGACTCAAGAGAAATTTTAAGTTTGTGTTTGAACAGACAGGTCTGGCAGTTTATTAACAAAATGCATAAAATACCAATCTCTGCAGGCTTAACTTTTCCTCTTGACCACACTGACAAATAGTGATCGGGTGTTTCACCTTTGATAGCTGAACCCCAGTGACATCCCTGTTTAGGGTACTGTTAGGAATACATTCGAGCATAGC